TGCAGAAATTACTCACACAGAAGTCTCGTGTGAGTTTTGTGGAGGTGACTTCATACACGAAGAACCATGCTGTGAAGAATATCCCAATGCTCATGAGAACTAATGTCAAGTGTGGGTAGATGGCGGGATTCACCGGGGACACATATCTTGCCATAGACTCAATACCAACCTGGAAAGAATTTTATGATGATTTGCTAAAGGCTAGGATATCAAAACATAGTGCCACTTCTAAAGAAATGAATACAGTAAATTCTTGTATTTGGTGATTAACTGGTAAAGGAAATTTGCCAAATATAAAGTTATTTTCTAGAAGACCTCTACATTATAAACTTCATTAAACACCATACCATTAGGCTCCTCATGATGTCTAGAGGGCATGGGGAATCACCAGAACATGGCAGTGTTTATTTGGTATTTATATATTTTCCCAATAAATAAGTTATCCCTAAAAGCCCTTTATGTTTGGGGTTCTGCTGCAACCCCCCTGCCCGGAATACAAAACCTCCACTGCATCTGAGTGACACACCAAGTCTGATATCACAACAAGTGGAAGCAAATGTCCCTCACTGTTCAAGTTACTTCTGCAATTTATGGTAGTTTTCTGATGTTCATATTAGGTCGATTCACTATTTCTACTGGTCCTTTTTTTGTTATATTTGGTTAGAAGACATCAATACAAATTCATCCAAGCCAAATTTGATAGGTTTTAGGATGTGGACAGGATCTAGAAATATACCATAATTTTTTTTAACCCAAACTGAAATTATCTAATTGATTGTGGGGTTAGCAGGGTCTTTGGACAATTTTGCCTTTTTGTCTATGTCTACTTTTACACGCACACCTGCACCCACATCTACACGCACACGCACACGCACATGCACACACACGCACACAACAGGCACACATAAGTATGAGAAAAAAAAAAAAAAAAAACAGACATATTGTTCTCAGATGCCATATGAAATTAGGTGGAGTATATACAATGAAAGTTTTAATCACAATCCTTTTTTCACAGATAATGAGAGGGAGATCACCAACGACAATTCATATCCAAGCCCCATCATTCAACCGCCTTTACTTTTAATATACTGTCTACTTTGTAAACTTCTTTCCTTTGAAATAGTTCAGCTTTTTCTTTTAAATTTTACATTCCCCTTTGTCCTAATCATTTAAGGCTGGCTTCCTCCCCCACACTTATTTATAAATGACCACTTATCAACCCAGGCTGGAAAGAGGTGGTACATGGCCCTTCTTTTCCCGAGAAATCATTTAACATATTAAGCAAAGGACAAGGAAGGAAACAAAATAATTTTCGGTAATAATGTGTGATATTCTGTAGCCAAAACTGGTGTCTGGCTAGCAGCTGACACGTACTGCCAAGATAATTTGCCAAATGTAAATACTATACTGTAGAGGAATCTTTAATTTCCAACATGAATAATGACCACTCTTCATATTGTATGTGTGTCACTTATAGCAAATGAAGGTAGTAGTTCTTTACAGTTCAGACACACTCCCAACCCAAACTCCATGTAACAAAATTTATTCATCAATCTAAGTTGTCATGGCTGGGTGTGTTCAACTACCCAAGGGTAAACACTGTCTTTACCTCAGTATACATGGCAAGATAGAGCAGATACTTGGGAGCACCGAGACACTACAACTTCCTGTCCTCTATAATACTATCTTTAATTTACCCTTGTTAGTGCATCCATAATGTAAAGATTAACAGTAAGCTGCTACTCTGGATACATTCCTATACCCTTGAGATTTGCTATTGCCCCATTCTGCCTTCACAAATTCTTTGTATTCTCTGACAGGGGTTGGGGAGCAGAAGCCTCTTCCAGGGGGCCCATAGGGGATGCAGCCCTGCAATAGTCATAACAGTATATGCTACTGTACACACACGGAGGATTCTTTGTTGTCCAGGACAGGAGTTGGAGGGTTGTAGGGGATAGAGCTCCCTGCATTAATGTACATAATCTTAGTCTGCAATTTCCCTGGTACCTTTCATGCCCTTCCCTGCTATCAGAATCCAGACTGTGGGTATTGGGGAGCTTCCACAGCATGATATATATATACAGATATATAGACAGATAGATAGATTTAGATAGATTTAGATAGATAGATTTAGATAGATAGATTTAGATAGATAGATAGATAGATAGATAGATAGATAGATAGATAGGATAGATAGATAGATAGATAGATAGATAGATAGATAGAGATAGATAGATAGATAGATAGAGATAGATATAGATAGATATATAGATATAGATAGATAGATATAGATAGATATAGATAGATATAGATAGATATAGATATATATACAGATATATACAGATATATATCAGATATATAGATATCTATAGATATACAGATATCTATAGATATATACTATAGATATATATCTAGATATATATGTATCTATAGATATATATATCTACAGATATCTATATCTATAGATATATATCTATATCTATATCTATATCTATATATACACATATACATATATATATGTGGGTAGTAGAAAAAGGAATCCATCAATACCACTTGCATCATGATTTGTTATCCAAAGGTCTTATGAATGTTTACCTGAAAAATGCCATTTTCTATAGGTTGGCATGAAGTACTAATAAATAGGGAATATATAATACTATCTTTAATTTACCCTTGTTAGTGCATCCATAATGTAAAGATTAACAGTAAGCTGCTACTCTGGATACATTCCTATACCCTTGAGATTTGCTATTGCCCCATTCTGCCTTCACAAATTCTTTGTATTCTCTGACAGGAGTTGGGGAGCAGAAGCCTCTTCCAGGGGGCCCATAGGGGATGCAGCCCTGCAATAGTCATAACAGTATATGCTACTGTACACACACGGAGGATTCTTTGTTGTCCAGGACAGGAGTTGGAGGGTTGTAGGGGATAGAGCTCCCTGCATTAATGTACATAATCTTAGTCTGCAATTTCCCTGGTACCTTTCATGCCCTTCCCTGCAATCAGAATCCAGACTGTGGGTATTGGGAGCTTCCACAGCATGATATATATATATACAGATAGATAGATAGATATCTATAGATAGATAGATAGATATAGATATAGATATCTATAGATATAGATATCTACAGATATAGATATCTACAAATATATATATCTATAGATATATATATCTACAGATATCTATATCTATAGATATATATATATCTATAGATATATCTATATCTATATATACACATATACATATATATATGTGGGTAGTAGAAAAAGGAATCCATCAATACCACTTGCATCATGATTTGTTATCTAAAGGTCTTATAATGTTTACCTGAAAATGCCCATTTTCTATAGGTTGGCATGAAGTACTAATAAATAGGGAATATATAGAAGGTAGGAAAGATTAGGCTGGGTGTTTGGGCTTGCAGGATACTCTGATTTTGTTTTTTCGGTCGCACCTGGTGACAATTATCCAGATGTACTCAGATATGTCCCAATTCCACATCACAGAATTTATTCAGCAATTTAATTTGCTATGACTGGGCACTGTCTGTGGGGACAGATGGTGGGCAGAGCACCCTCAGGCAAACATTGTCTTCACAGCAATATGCACGTTTAGATAGAGCTGGAAGTCAGGTGAACCAAGAGGACTTATTCTGTGTGCAGTACCTCCCGCAATCTTTTCCTTTATTCATAGCAGTATCGTTTGTGTCTGCATATTTCTTATACTGGCAACTGCAATGTACTCTAAAAGATCATCATCATCAATGTGCCCTTGCTTGGTGCATCCATACGATAAAATTAGCCAAGCTTCATACAATTCATCAACCTATGATTTCCTGAACTGTTATGGTGCATTAACTTAAGAGGATGTAGACACTGCCATTGGGGGTGGGGGTGGAGTGGAGTGGGGGGTTCTGGCCCCAGGAAACATTCTTCACCTCTGTATGTGTGGCAAGATAGAGCAGCGTTTACACCGTAAAACAAAAAACATACTTTTATATCTGGAAACATCAAACTTTTGTTTCCTTCTTACTACCATCTGGATTGTTTCGATTTTAATCCTTTTTTCAGCAATTTGGGGCAAGTATTTAACTGGGATAGTTACTAAAGTTGATATCTTCTTCATTGCCACTGTAAAGTCTTAAGAATAACCCAGAATCAACACAACACTGGAA